CAGTGACCAGCGGTCCATACAGCCACCAGGCTCCTTCTCCAGTCCCACGTCCCCAGAGGCTTCCTGCCCTTGATCCCGACACACACTGCAGCCACGGGACCTGGGTGGGACCAGGCCCTCATATTCAAAGTGTTAGATTTCCCCAAAGCAGGCACACACCAGGCCCCGTCTGCCCCAGGCGCCGGCTGCAGGTGTGTGGCCCTGCCCCTTACCCTCCCGGCTCCCTGTCCTCTTTCTCACCCAGCCTCACCCCAGCACTTTAACCCCTGACCATTTAGGGTGACCACCTGTCCTGGTTGGCCCATAGCTCCCCCTACTTTAAAACTGAAACTCCCATGACCCAGGAAACCCCTCCCTCAGCCCCATGGACATCAGAATAGTCAGTCATTTCACCTGCCCTGAAGTTCCCTTAAAGGTATTTCTCCTCCTCTCCTCCAGCGCGCCCCTAGACAGTGTCAGACGGCTGGCCTGGGTTCTCCAGTCCCTGAGGCAGTGAGGACAGCCAGGGCCCTGGCATGTGCCCGCAGAAGCTTGACGATGGCTGGGCTGGGGACTCAGGGACACCTGCACTAGACTCCAGGCCTGACCCCGTGGGACAAGCAGCCTCCAGAGGCTGTGGGCAGGATTCAGAAGACCAAGTAAGTGCATGCTCTCCACCCAGACTTGGTGAGGCGTGAGAGAAAGAGAAAACTCAAGGTCACGGGTGGAGCACTTCCATTTCTGCTAGCAGCAGGCTGGAAACGTCGGTGAGCGGAAGGTCAGAGAGGGGCAGACATGGCCCATGAAAGGCAGCAGCTGGAACTCACAGGAGCCACCATACCAGGTGTGCTACACGCACATAGTAAAAATTAGTTTTAAACAGTACAAAAGAGTCGAGAGTCGGCGCCCTCCCACCTGATGGCTGAAGGCCCGCGTGGTTGGGGGATGTTTTTCTCCACGCTGCGGTGGGGCGCTATTCCCGAGGCAGACAGCAGGTGGCGCCCAACCCAGAGAATTCGAAAAAGGGAACTGGCGGAGTTAAGTAACTACCCAGGTCATTTCCAGTAACTTCCTCCTCCCCCAAGGGCCTTCTCTACTCTTTGTGCCTGAGCCTGGGCCAATTCTCCCGCAGGTCCCAGATGTCCAGTTCCAGATGCCTGGCCGCAGAGTGGGGGAACTACCCCTGGAGAAGCCCTCACTCGGCAGGCTGCCCGGGCAAGATGTGAGTGTGCTGTGCCCCCTGCCAGGCCTGGAGAGCAGGTTGTGGAGAGGGGGAGGGAGGACAGGAGGGCGTAGGTGCACGCACGCACACGTGCGCACGCACGCGCACGCACGCACGCACGCACATGCACGGGGCAGTAAGTCCACCGGGGAGTTGGAGCCTTGCCTGGGGGTGGTCGGGTTCAGTGGTCCGAGCCAGGAAGCATCTTCCCAGTAAACGTCCCTCACTTGTTCCACGGTTGATCCCCCATCCCAGGGGGGGCGGAGTTTGCTGAAGCAGAGAGCAGCTCTCCTCTGGATGAGACCTCCCAGGAGCTGAGCGGGAGGCTGTAGGGGGTGGCGTGAAAAGGGGGTAGAAGAAGTGCCCCGGCCTCAGGGCTGACGGAGACCACCATCGCTGCTGCCTTGCCCAGGCCCCTCCACCCCTTAGCTTTGCCCGCCCCCACTCCTGCTTATCCGCAGGCCTCAGGCACCTCTGTGGCCTCACCTTGCCCTCCCGACTCGCAGGTGGTGGCTGCTCCTCTGGGGAGTCCTCCAGGCTTGCCCCACGCAGGGCTCCGTCCTCTCGGCCCAGCAGCTATCCCAGCAGCTGACGTCCCCCGGGTACCCAGAGCCATATGTCAAAGGCCAACAGAGCACCGTGGATATCGAGGCCCCAGAGGGCTTTGCCGTGAGACTCGTGTTCCAGGACTTCGACCTGGAGCCGTCCCGGGACTGTGAACGGGACTCTGTCACAGTGAGCCGGGGGCAGGGGTCCTGCAGGGACTCTGGGGAGGGCGGAGGGAGGCGGCTGTGCGCGGAATCACCCATCTAGAGGAGGCCCGAAGCGCCCGGGTCAGGGCACAGCGTCCCCGGGTCTCCTCCGCGGCTGCCACGTGGGCCCCACAGGGTGAAGGAGAGGCCGCAGTCAGGCCCTGCATTTGGAAGACTTACAGGGGACACAAAAATATGGCAAGTCTGCAGAGTCAGAGTCGGCGACTCAACATCAGTCGTTAAACATATGTCATCACGTATTGGTTGAGTGACCGCTCCGTCAGGTTAGGAAGCTGGGCATAAGTAAGAGCAAAAGGTTAACTGTTCCCACTCAGCTCAGAGGAGCTTCACAAAACTTCTTAGGACAAGGACATCATTCAAATATGGACATTTTAAGAATAATAGTTTACGTTGTCTTTTTTTTTTTTTTTTTCTGAGACAGAGTCTCACTTTGTTGCCCAGGCTAGAGTGAGTGCGGAGGCATCAGCCTAGCTCACAGCAACCTCAAACTCCTGGGCTCAAGTGATCCTCCTGCCTCAGCCTCCCGAGTAGCTGGGACTACAGGCATGCGCCACCATGCCCGGCTAATTTTTTCTATATATATTAGTTGGCCAATTAATTTCTTTCTATTTATAGTAGAGACGGGGTCTCGCTCTTGCTCAGGCTGGTTTTGAACTCCTGACCTCGAGCAATCCGCCCACCTCAACCTCCCAGAGTGCTAGGATCACAGGCGTGAGCCACCACGCCCGGCCTACATTGTCTTTTGGTTTAAATTTTATTTGTGTCAAAATAAAACACACATATAATGTTTTAAAAATTAGAGTTTGGCCAACCACAGTGGTTCATGTCTGTAATCCAAGCACTTTGGGAGGCTGAGGCGGGATGATTGCTTGAGGCTAGGAGTTCAAAGTTATGGTGAGACCAGCCTGGGCAACATAGCAAGACCCTGTCTCTGAAAAAAAAAATTAACCAGGCATCGTGATGCTCAACTGTAGACCCAGCTACTTGGGAGGCTAAGGCAGGAGAATCACTTGAGCCCAGGAGTTCGAAGTTACAATGAGCTATGATCACACCGCTGCACTGCAGCCTGGGTGACAGAGTGAGACTTTATCTCTAAAAAAATAAATAAACATTTAAAAAACAGAAAAGGCTTATAATGAAAAACAGTGGTCTCCAGGCTACTCCCGTCCAATTGCTGCACTGCAGAGGCAGTCATTTCCAATTCCTGTAGTTGTTTCATCTGGTATTTATCTTCATATGTATAAAAACATTCTGTTCTATTTTATTTTTCACTCTTATTTTTACATATTTTCTATTAACCTTAAATGACAGTGTAAAAGATGAGGACTAGCTTTATCTTAGATCTTCACCATCCACATTTCCCTCCCCCATTCTCTCAGTATGCCTAGTTATCATTTTTAGTTACTTCTAGATTTACAATTTACATTGTTATGACTGCAAAATATTCACATCTGAGTACGTGTTATGTGGCAATTATACTCCCTTTCTTCTCCAACTTTTGGGCTTCCCAGAAATCAATAATTACCTGAAGTTCCTTAGGGGTTTTGTTTGGTTTTGTTTTGATTTTTAGTTTGCTTAGTTCTTTCTGTAACTAATCTCCCCAGACTCTTAACTGGAAGAATAAATCTTTTCCTGAAATAGTCAGGCACAGATTTCAATCTCTTAGTCCTCCTTTTTATTGGTGACACCCCTCCTGAAGGTCTCTTGATGATTTATTTCCACAGTCTGAGTTCTTTGTGCTGTAAGCCTCCACACATTCTCGGAGTTCCCTTCTCCCTCTTTCTGGGAATTTCCTTGACCGGTCCTGTGCTCAACCTGAATTCCATATCTTTCTCCTTGGTTTACTCCCTTATTTTGGAGAAGCACATTCTCCAATAGCTTCCTTAGAAAGGGTGTGTTAGAGTAAATTTTAGACGATCTTACATGTCCCTAAGTGTCTCAGTTCTCCCCTCACAGTGGATGGATAGTTGATCTGGGTATAGCATTCTAGATTGGAAGCCCCTTTCTCCCAGAATTTTGATGACATTGTCTTCTAGGTCTAGACTTGTTAAGAAGTCTGATGGCATTATCATTCCTGATCCGTAGTTTTTTTTCTCTCTAGAACTTTTGGAATATTTTCCTTATTACCAGTTTCCAGACTTTGATTATGACGGGCCTTGCTGCCAGTTGTTTTTCACTCATTGTGCAGCTTTTTTACTCTAGAGACTCTTTTAATCTAGTCCTTCAATCCTGGGAATGTTCTTGTATTATTTCTTTAATAATTTCAAAATGTCTGCTTTCTTTATTTTCTCTTTCTCTTGTAATTCAGCTGTTTATGTTCTGGACTGATTCTCTAGTTTTGTTATCTGTTCTGTTATATTTTCTATCTCTTTGTCTTTTTATTCCACTTTCTGGGATATTTCTTCATCTTTTTTTTTTTTTTTTTTTTAAGAGACAGGGCTCTCACACTGTCACCCAGCTGGAGTGTAGTGGCACAATCACAGCTTACTGCAGCCTTGAACTCCTCGGCCAAGCAATCCTCCTGTCTCAGTCCCAGTAGCTGGGACTACAGGCATGCACCACCATGCCTGGCTAATTATTTTTTTTAATTTTGTGTGTCGACAAGGTCCCCCTATGTTATTGTATTTCCCCGAAAATAAGACCTACCCATAAAATAAGCCCTAGCAGGATTTCTAAGCATTTGCACAATATAAGAATTTAAGCCCTACCCCGAAAATAAGACCTAGTGATGGGCGTGGCTACGCAGCGCATCTGCACAACCCACGCATTTGGTCACCCAGCAGTAAAGAAGACGAGCAGCCCTTCTCATCTGCTCCATCATGACAGCTACTGTCTCAGAGGTGACCGGAAAGGTGCGGGCAGCCCCACCAACAAGGTCGGCTCCCCCTGTCAGGTTCTGGCCATCCTGTGCGTGCTGCAGGCTGAGACTTTGAGGGAAAAATAACACATCCCCTGAAAATAACCCCTAGGGTGTCTTCTTGAGGCAAAATAAATATAAGACCCTGTCTTATTTTTGGGGAAACACGGTACCTAGGCTGGTTTTGAACTCCTGGTCTCAAGCAGTCTTCCTGCCTTAGTCTCCCAGAGTGCTGGGATTACAGTATGAGCCACTACAGCTGGCCAAGATTTTTTAATTAATGTTTTTTTCCTGCTGACATATTATTTCATTTCTAAGGGCTCATTCTTATTTTCTAAATGTACCTTTTTGTAGAGTATTATTCTTGTTTCGTAGATGCAATATCTACTCTTTTCCCTACTTTGGGATTATTTTTAAATGTTTCTTTTGTTCCCACTATCTCTACTTCATCCAAGTTCCTTTTTACTGTTTGTTTTGGTCTCTGCTTTTTGGGTTAGAGATTTCCCTACAATGCCAATAATACTGATTGTCCATTCATACTTAATAGTGAAGCACTAAAATGCTGATTGCAAGTTCTATATAGGTAGCTAAAATTTGTCAGATGATAGCTTTGAAAATAGGGTTATCAACAGGGTGACCTAGTTGTGCTATTTGTGGGCCTCCCAACTGTCAAAATATAAAAGTTTTTTCTTTTGGGACACCCATTGTCCCCAGAGAGGACTCTGCAGTCTTCAACTCAGGGCCCCCAGCTAGGAAAGGAGTTTGGGGGAGAGCAGTGCATCTCACTGTTTGACAGGTAGACCCTCATTCAGTCTCTCTGCTTTCAGTACACTGAGTCCTCCTTAACGTTGTCTATAGAACGATGGAAATTGTGCCTTTAAGAGAAACGACACAGGATGAAACCAATTGACCATCTGCTAATTGCTATAAACAAGAGTGAAGTCCCTACGGCGTTTTTCAGGTCACTAAAACATCATCAAACTTCTAAATAAAAACCAAAACACTTCTGATATTAAACACTGAAATAAATGTAAGCCATGTATACATTTAAGAAAGATAAATAAAAACAAGTTAGACAGTTATTTACCCAGTTACTCCCATTCAGGGTCTTGAGTAGCCAGAGCCTGTCTGGGCAGCTCCGGGTCAAGTGGGGGAAACAGCCTGGGCCAGGACGCCATTCCGAGGCAGGGCACACTCACACGCCCACACTGACTCACACTGCAACCATGTAGACACCGGTTCACCTAACAGCCACAGCTTTGGAACGTGGGAGGAAGCCAGAGTACCCGGAGGAAACCACACAGACATGGGGAGAGCGTGCCGGCTCCACCCAGGCGGTGGCCCCAGCCAGGAAGTGATTTTTTTTTTCTCATCAATGTTAGAAAGAAATGACATTGCATGAAATAATGAAATTCAAGGACCTGCTGTGCTGGCCTTCACCCCCGTATCAAGTGCACCAAGGGACCCCAAGTCCACGCTTTCTTCTTTTTCTTTCTTTCTTTTTATTTTATTTATTTATTTATTTATTTTTTTAGCAAACCGGGGAGATGCAGCTTTTGGTATACAATGGAGGTGCATTCCCCCAAGTGCAGAGGCTAGTTCAAGTGAGCTCAGGCCTTCTGGTAGGGTGGGCCAGCGGGGGCTGCCTGGATGCACAGGGTGTTCATGAGGATGTGGATTCTAGGTCTCCCTCACAGGCTTCCCACCTGCTGTCCCCTTGCGAGCCCTTCTCTCATCCCTACCTCCTGTCCCCGGGTTCTCAGTGCCCCCAATCCCCAGGGCTCTGTGATGGGAACCTGCTCCCACCTTTGCACACTCAAGTTGCCACTTGTATGTCTCCATTCCATCTTCTAAAATGTCTTCATACCTGCCACCTGCTGTCATCTCCTCTCCTTTCTTTGTCCTTGAATATGTATACCACTTTATCCCTTTGCTGTCAGGTTAGTGAGGGTTATGGTGGAAGAGGAGATAAATGCAAGTATTTATTGCTTCAGATTTAACAGTTAGGGCCATGCTTTGTTCAATTCAGCCTATGTCTATTGAGTACCTACCATGTGGTCTGTTCCTCTTAAATCATGGAAAATTTTCATCCCAGACCAACTCTTCCCTTGTCATTGAGAGAGTTCAAGTTCAGGAATAGGATTCCTCCCTCCTCTTTGCTCCCAGAGCAAGTCAAACACGCATACCACAAATGCAGAATTCAATACACTACAGTCCAGTTCATTTTTCACTTGTCAACGTCCTCAGCCAGACTGTGGGCTCTCTGGTAGCAGAACTAAGCCTTAGTCATATCTGTGTCCCCAGCACCTAGCGCAGTGTCTCACACATAGTGAATAATCAGTAAATTTTGTTGAAGGAATACGCGAAAGAACAAGTGAAACCCACACTTACCATGTGCAGGACCCACCATAGATTGAATTTTGAATAAGCAGGTATTTAGCGTCAGCCTCGCTACTGCTCTTAGCACAGATGCTGGAGAACCCCATAGAACGAGATGGCCTAGCTGGAGAGGCCTCACAGACCATTTATAGGAGAAAAAAGCTGAGATCTGAGATCTTGGGTGCTTGAGAGACTCCCATGTCACACAGGGAGTCAGAAGCAGAGTGTAGAATTTAACACAGGCCTTGGGACTTCTGTTGTGCATTCACTCTATAGGTGACAAATTTTTACAAAATTTTTCCTTTGTATGGAGACTATAAAGGGAAAATTTTGTCATGAATATTTTGTAAATAAAGGTGCATTTACCTACAATTTTCCATTTTCCCTATGCATGGTGACTTTTGGGACGCCCTGTACTTTGCTAGTTAGAATGCGAAGAGATTTTATTTAGTTAACAATTCATGAGAAAGAGTATAAAGAAAACTGGGGGGATTTACAACCAAATGGATCGGTCAAGCACAGTGTCCTATACCAAAGTGCTTCCTCCCAGGAGGCAGGTCTCTTTAACGTGGGGAGTTACATTTGTGGATGTTCTAAGGAACAGATCAGTATTGGAACTTGTCCAAGCAAAATCTTGCCAACTTTTACCCAGTTAATATGATCAGAGTGAGATGGGCTGGACGAAGTCGTGGAGGAATTTTCGAGACTTGCAGAGGATGAGGGTGTGGAGGGGAGACGCGGATCAACATGAAAGTCTGAGATGAAGCGAGCCCCGCAGTGGGCTGTGTGCCGGAACAGAGACGAAGCATGAAGGGTATTCCAGGGGATCCTTCCAGATCGCCCTTCCCTGGATCCCACAGGAAGGGATTTGAGCAGGTTGAGACCATCAAAGAAGGATGAAAACAGAGATGACCTGCTTTAAGAACTCACCGGGTGAAACAGCATCATCCAGCACACCCACGCTGGGGACACTTGTGTCCCTCGAGTCGCACACGTGGTGAAGGCTTGATTACAGTGCATGGCGTGAGAGGAGGGCTCTCAGGAGAGGGCAGGGGCCCTGGGGGCTCGGTCTTGGCAGGTGGTCTTATTGCTGCACAGATGTTGGCCATAGAAAGTGACTCGGGGAAGTGGAGGTGATGGGAGTGGCGTGGGGACGGGAGAAGCTGGGTGGGGAACGGTGTCTGTATATTCATCGAGTCAGCTGTGGGGCTATGGGCACCACACTGAGCATCAGGGACTCAGTGGTGAGCCAAACAGACGTAGTTCCTGCCTTCCCAGAACGTACAATCCAGCGAACATCGTGGAACACTGGAGTTCCCAAGGAGCTTCTTGAAAAAAGGAAAGTGTGGCGGGCCTTATGAGATAATTAAGGTAGGCTAAAGAGATAGTCTAGTATGTGGTCCTGCCCTGAAGAAACTTGGGAGTCAATAACGGAACAGGAGGCTACTTGAAGAAGGCTCCACAAGGTGTGGCTTCTGAGTCCCAGAGGGGTACGGACCTCCTAGCCGGGGCTGGAGTCGTGCCGAGGATGGAACCTGTGACCACGAGGAGTGCCGATTCCCCCCACAGCTGTCTGCCCCTCGCCCTCCTCCCCCTTTCAGATCTCAGCCGGTGGGACGGATCTGAGCCGCTTCTGTGGTCTGCAGGGCTCCCCTCTGGGCAGCCCTCCTGGTCAGAGGGAGTTTGTGTCCTCAGGGAGGAGTTTGCGGCTGACCTTCCACACACACTCTTCCTCAGAGGACAAGGCCACCCACCTCCACAGGGGCTTCCTGGCCCTCTACCAAGCCGTGGGTGAGTGTCCCTACTCGGGGTGCAGGGAGGGAGCGTCTGCCCCCAGCCATGACCCCTGCTATTTTGAAGCCACAAGTAGAAGTTTGAGTGCCAGACGGCTTGATGGCTGAGTTTGGGGGCTCAGGGTCACCTGGGCCCAACCCAGCTCTGCCCCAGCCTGGACGGTGCTGGGGGCAGCTGTGTCAAGGGGCAGCCACTGCCCGGCCCCAGCAGTTGTTTCCGTGCAGACTTACAGGCCCAGTGTTTGCAGATCGTCTCATTTTTGAAGAGATGCCCCAAATCAAGATTTTTTTAAGTGAAATTCTAGATTTTCAAATGGTGACTCAGATTTTTTTTTTAAGGATAATGTATGCACAAGATAAAATTTTCAATAACAAAAAAAGACAACATGCTAAAAAATGAGCCTTTCTCTGATCTCTGGCCTTTGGCTCCTGGTTACCTCCTCCAGAAACAACCCTGTTCCCCATTGCCTGGGCATTCTTCCAAAGACATTTTATACCATTTGAGTACAGATTGTGTGTTTGTTGCATACTATCCACAATGCTCTAAACTTGGCATTTTTTCACTAAGCAATATATCTTTTTTTTTTCTTTTTTTAAGATAGCTGTAGAAGATGAGTAAGCAATATATCTTAAAGATCATCCCATATCTATACGGTTAGCATTGACTGATTCTTTTTTAATGACCACATACAATCAATCCCTTTGACTGATGTGTCTTAATGAATTTAATCAGTCCTCCACTGGTAGATACTTTGTTGCTACGAACAGTGCTGCTGTGAATATCCTTGCATATAATACGTCTGTCTTTGAGTGTGTGAAAATATCTTTAGGGTAAATTTTTAGAAATGTAAATTCTAGGTTTAAAATATTTGCATTTTTTATTTTGATATTGCTAAAATTTTCCTGCAAAACGGTTTTGCTAATTTCCATTACTACCACCCATGTATGGAAGTGTCTGTTTCCCCATACCCTACTTATCACAGTTATTTTCAAACTCTTTGAGTGTTGACAATCTGATTGGTGAAAACTAGTTAAAATGGTTTTAAAGAAACACTGTGCAGGTCCAACTAAATACAGCCACGGGCCGCGATCAGCCCCTGGGCGGCCAGCGGGCACATCTGTGCAGGGCCAATGGCTGCTGCTTTCCTGTAGCTGTGAGCTGCCGTCAGCCCACCAGCTGGGCCAGTGTGGGCTCTGAGGCCATCAGCACACCTGGAGACAGCCCTGCCGAGATCCAGAATCCCTGCCAGGAGCCCTATTACCAGGCGGTGGCAGCAGGTGAGTCCCCACCTGCTGAGGAAGCGGCCTCCGTGTGCCTCAGTGCCACCCAAAGGCTTGAGGCCCTCTGAGCACTTTCTTTGTCAACACAACACCTTCCTATTCTGAGCCTGTTCCTTGGCCTCCCCTCGTTTTGCTCCTCAGGGACACTCACCTGCAAGGCCCCCGGGACCTGGAAGGACAGAGAGGGCCGGGAGGAGGCTCCTCGGTGTGTGCCTGGTGAGTAGTTCCCTGCCAGTGCGTCCCAGTGGCCGCTTCCCCAGCCAGCCCAGCAGTAACTGGGACGTGTGGGGCACGGGGCTCTGAAGGGGAGAGAACGCAGAAGGTGAGGAAGAGGCAACGAGCTTGTCCCTTACTCCTCCAGGATCACAATGTATCTGGGAAAATTAAAGTCTGGAGAAAATTAATCAGATGGACAAGGGAGGGAGGAAGGAGGACAGATGAGCTGAAATAAGAGAAAATCCTCTCTTTATATGGTGTGTTTTAAGGATATATAGACAGGCTCTCTGTCCCCAAAATAGCTCCCTACCTAGACACCACACAGTGCCAGAAAGGGCACCATTTTTTTTAAAAAATTTTATTGAGATAAAATTCACACACCATAAAATTCACCATTTAACTACTTTAAAGTGTACAATTCAACAATATTTAGTGTATTCACAATGTTGTGCAACCATTATAACTAATTCCAGAACATTTCCATCACTCCCCAAAAATACTCCAGTACCTTCAACTCTGCCCTCTCCCATCCACTGGCATCCAACAATCTACAGGGTGTCCCAAAAGTCACCATACATAGAAAAAATGGGAAATTGTAGCTAAATGTACCTTTATTTACAAAATATTCATTAGAAAATGTTTACAAATTTTTTCCTTAGTATGGAGACTTTTGGGGACACTCATACTTTTTGTCTCTATGGATTTACCTATTCTGGACATTTCATATGAATGGAAGCAAACTATGTGGCCTTTTATGTCTGGCTTCTTTCACTAGCATAATCTTTTCAGGGTTCATCCATGTTATATAGCAAGTATCAGTACTTCATTTCTTTTTATGGCTACATAATATCCCTTTGTATGGATACACCGCATTTTGTTTATCCACTCAGCAAGTGATACACATTTGGATTGTTTCCACTTCTTGCTCTTGCGAATAATGCTGCTATCAGTCTTTGTATACAAGTTTTTATATCAACATATGTCTCTACATTTCTTGGGCATGTACCTAGGAGTAGAATTGCTGGGTCATGTAATAGTTCTACGTTTAGCTTTTTGAGGAGCTGCCAGACTGTTTTCCACGGCAGCTGCACCATTTCACATCTTACCAGCAGTACATGAGGGTTCAAGTCCACCGTTTTTGAAATTCACACTTTTGAATCAAAGCATTGCCTTCCTACCCCAATCCGATCCACAGAAAATTGTAGGGGCAGCCTGAAGGCCCGCAGTGCTTTGGGAGAGTGTGGGGAGGCAGGTGGTCATGGGAGATGTTGCAAATGATGAAGTGACACAGAAAACAGCGGCAAGAGACACTGAAGAGAGACTGCCTGCAACATGACTTGGCCTGGGGTGCTCCCCCCAGGAGCCTAAGGAATGGCTTAAAGATGGCTGAGGGGGCAGGAGGCGGGCCCAGCACAGCCAGCCCCGGCTGCGTGCTCGTCTGTGCTTTCTGCCCCTCAGTCCACTGTCCTGAGTCCCATGCAGGATACGTGCCCAGTAGCCTGCCTGATTTCCTGCCCCTGTCTGCCCATGTGGTCTACATGAGTGGGTCTGCATCGGGTCAAGTGTCCTGACCCCAGGTGGAGCTAGGCCCGGGGCCTTCTTCACGGAAGTAGGTCTTTAATCTGTGTGCCTTGAGGCCACTGCCCAGCGTTCACCCTGCCTCTCCTCCCGCAGTCTGTGGATGGCCAGTCGTCCCGGTCGCCCAGAACCAGACGACCCCTGGTTCTCCCAGAGCCAAGCTGGGCAACTTCCCCTGGCAAGCCTTTACCAGCATCTACGGCCGCGGAGGCGGGGCCCTGCTGGGCGACAGGTGGATCCTCACCGCCGCCCACACCATCTTCCCCAAGGACAGCGTCTCTCTCAGGAGGAAGCTGAGTGTGCACGTGTTCCTGGGCCACACCGACATAAATGAGATGCTGAAACTGGGGAGCTACCCTGTCCGCCGCGTGGTCGTGCACCCCGACTACCGTCAGAACGAGTCACACAATTTCAACGCGGACATCGCCCTCCTGGAGCTCCAGCGCAGCGTCCCCCTGGGCCCCCTCGTCCTCCCCGTCTGTCTGCCTGACAGCGAGACCCTGTACGCCAGTGGCGTGCAGGGCTACGTCAGCGGGTTTGGTGTGGAGATGGGCTGGCTGACCACTAAGTTGAAGTACTCGAGGCTGCCCGTGGCTCCGAGGGAGGCCTGTGAGGCCTGGCTGCGAGGCAAGCGGAGGACCGAGGTGTTTTCTGACAACATGTTCTGTGTTGGGGACGAGATACAGAAGAACGGTGTCTGCCAGGGGGACAGCGGCAGCGTCTATGTGGTGTGGGACGATCATGCCCGTCGCTGGGTGGCCACGGGCATCGTGTCCTGGGGCATCGGGTGCAACACAGGGTATGGCTTCTACACCAAAGTGCTCAACTACCTGGACTGGATCCAGGGAGTGATGGACGGCAGGGACTGACCCTGGGCACTGAGCGGGACCAGCCAGCTCAGGGAATAGGGCCCCTGTTCAAGTCACTGATGCAGCAAGCCGCTGTGGGAGAAGTCCTCCTCCCCTCAAGCCTACACCAGCCCAGGGAGAAAGCGAGTCCCACAGCCCCTTCTCCTCACTCTCTACCGCCCTGCACACTTGCACTGCACCCAGGGAAGCCCTGTTTCACCTCGAACATCCTTAGAATCCCCCTCCCCACCTCCATCTGTTGACACGGCATCTTCTATACTCACCTGTGTAAGAGTCACCTTCTCACCGCCTATTCAAGTGGAGCAGGGAGAAAGAGGTATTAATTGCATTGCATTTCTGAAACATTCTGAAGACCCTTTAGTTGACCTCCAAATAGTCAAGCTATTGGTTTCACCTCCTACCAACAACTCCTAGATGCAATTATAGTTAAGAGCTCCCTTTTTGTTTTATGTCTTCTACATGCCCCGTGTTCCACGTGTTATTTCACTTAATCCTCACACCGCATTTGCAAAGGATGTGTTATTATCCACATTTCACAAATGAGGAAACTGACTAGCCCAAGTGCCAGCGTTGGTGTGTGACTGTCCTCAAGACCTGTTAGATCACCCACTTCCCCATCCCAGTCCCTGTGTCCTTGCAGTTCCCTTTCCCTGGGAATCCCTACTTCTGTGAAGACAGCATCGTGTGGCTCACACTCTTCTGCTGGCCCCATCTCCTGTAGACACCAAGGTGAGCCCAGCCCAGCCCTGGACTGAAGTTCCTGCACACACCCTAGTCTGTGCCCCCGTTATTGAGGGCTCTGCTCCACCTAAAAAGACCAACTCTTTGATTTTTAGTAAAGATTTGAGGTGATTTACAGTGAAAGATTGTAGGGGACTGACATATATTTTCCTAGTTTAAGAATTAAATTTAGTGAGTAATGTATGTGTTCTGCCCAGAGTGTTTGAAAGTAATGTGTTCCAGACAAGGTCCTTGTGATAAACAAGGTTGTTGCCTAGAGGCATAACAAAGGACCTGAGTTGCAAATAAGCAAGAGCTGCCCCGCCCCACAGCATTAGGGGTCTGGAGGCCACACGATAAACACATTGTTCCTGTGATTGCTGTGTACACCCCATAAGATGGCTGATTAGTCAATGATGGGTAAGACCTCTCAAGGGAGGGGCTACCTAAGCCAGGCAAAGCCGCTGGGGTTCAGCCGAAGATCTTAAGGGATCACCCTAAGAAAAGCTGGGGATGAGAAATGCCCCCTGTGGCTTGCCTTGCCCATCCTTGCTAATCTCAGTCCATGATCTATGCGCCTAGAGCAACCACCTGGAAACCTTGAGTCAGGGGATATCTGCTTCCCTAAGGCTACATATTCCGGAATTTATAGCCATTGCTGCAATGCCTGGGTGGTTATGTATAAGGAACTAACTTTAATTTTTTAGAGTATAAAAATAAAACTGACCTGGTATATTATTACTCAAGTCAACCGTCTGTATGTGTGTCTGCATTTTTCTTTGTGTTCTGCGTTTTCGTTTTATGTTCTGTGTTCATCCTGTAAATGGGCCATGACAAAAGATACAAATAAAATACAACTATTTAACAAAAATAGAAAATGAATACCATAAAACAGAAAGAAGAGCAAATTTGTGAGTGTTGAGAGTCAAGTTGCTATATGGTCAAATGTTAATTTTCTCTTTGAGAAATAGCAGTATTCCAAGTTGTATATAAAGTAGTTACTTCTGTTTTTTTAAACCCACATACAATAAAGAAAACTATTAAAAATGTTCTCAAAATATGAAACAAAGGTGGTTGTGGTCAGTATGATTTTGGCTGTTTGGTTTCCCCTATTCTCTATTTACTAAATTTTATTTAATCATGTATCATTTTAATTTATTTTATTTTACTTATTGAAAAAATATGAGTTTCTTCCTGCCAAGACAAAAAAGATATACCTATACCTATATGTGTGCGTGTAGATCTGCATCTGCATCTCTTTATCTCCATCTACATCTCTAGACCTAGAAATATAAATCATATAGAGATTTATCCATAGAGAAAACCTACCATGACTTAAAAGAGAAATGTTTTTCCCCAGAATCAAACCCTACAAGGAATAACAGGCAATGTCTTCAATACCCATTTTAAAACAAGTGCAAACTTTATTTTTCGTGGGATTTCCTTCAGAATATTTATAAAACTAATTTTAAGTAAATTATTTTTAAATAATTCAAAAAAAAAACAAGTGCAGGAGCAATCTTCATGTGGCCGTTTCTTCTTTCTATTCTTGGTATAAAGCAAGGTTATAACAAAAATGGATGAGTCAAAGTCATCTTGGATGGTTGGACAGAGCTGGGACTGAACTAACGAGGTCCAGCTTGGCCACTTTCCAGTCATGGTGGACAGGTGGCAGAGCTTCAGCTAAGATTTACCTTCTTGGACCACCTCCTTACCTGTTCCCTCTCCCCATCATGAACATGCAACACACACACACACACACACACACGTGCGCGCCACACACACACATGCTGCTGATGGGTTACTAATGTGCAGTGTGCTAGATGAGATTCCCCTTCCTTCTCATCCTCTGAGCTGGTCCTTTCCTTCTCCCCTCTCTTTTGTCTTTCCTGACCTGACAAGGCCTTGGGTCAGGTCACAATCAAGTCGTGGACCAGCCCTGCCTTCAGATTCACTCCTCAGCTCTGACACCTAAGCCTGCTGCAGAGACCCTCCAAACCTTGCACCTTCCCTGTGCCTGCTCTCCAACCACATTCATTGATGACTTGGTCACTGCCCAAGGGGGAACTGCCCCATCTTTGTGAGTCCTAGCAATCCGTTGCCTGGGAAAGCGCCCTGCACATTAAACATGCAGCCCGTAAATGGATGCATGGGTGGGTGGAGGTACGGAGGGGTTCATCTAATAAGGGAAACAAGTGAGAGCCTTCAAAGGCACGAGAGCCCAGAGGCCTCTTCTGCAGCCTGACCCCCACTCCACCCCCACCGTGGGATAAAGTACCACCGGGTGTTTGGAGCCATGGAGGATTGATAAAGAATGGCTTCTAAAAGAGCAAACTTTTAAAGCAAGACAGCATGGCTTGTTGGACAGGAGAGACAGGAGTCCCTCCCCATCCAGGGCCTCGGCTTCCTCTCAGCAAAGACTGGGTCCCTCTTGCTCTGCAGCCACACACCCTTGGCTTAAGCCCTGGCCACTGAGCCCACCACATGCTGCAGAAAAAAGGATGTTCTACCCCCTCCGGAGCTGCTCTGGCCTCTGTAAGAGCCGGGTTCGTTGGCAGGCCAGGGTTCAGTGAGCTGGGGAGGGAGAGTCTCAAGCCCAGTGCTGCCGGGGGCGACCCTGACACAGCAATTGTCATTCAGGACTAAGACGGGCAGGGCCCCAACGCAACCAAACTCCATTCTCCTCTGTCCATTCCCACCTGCCTGTCTCCCCTCCGCTGTTCCTGGCACTTCATCCTGGGCGTCGAAACCCTGGCCCGTCCTGAATGAGGGCAGCAAGAATGGGGTCGATGGAAAAGGGTGGTCAGAGAAGCGAGGCCCTGCAACCTGTGATCCTCATTGCCCTTTGGGTCAGAACCCTTAAACACAGCGGCGGCCCCAGGAAAGCCTCTGAAGAAGGAAGGGAGAATTTCGTCAGATTTAGAGACTGAAGACTCTAAGCCTCCAACCCAAGGCTCTCTGGTCCCTAAAACTTCCGACGCCCCTTCCTTAGCCCTTCCCATGTGGGCCAGCAGGTGGCATCACCAACAGGGATTTCAAAACCAAAACTAAATTAAAGTGGAAACTCAGATTTTTTGTTTATGCAAATAGTTCGTTCCCTACAACATCCCTCCGGGAATGGTCCCCCCCGCCCCACGGCATTCCCTCCCCTTCCCTCCTCTGCGTGCTGCCCTCTCCCTCCACACAGCCCTGGAGACGCTGTCAGGAGGGCCCAGGATCCCAAACTGAGCAATGTGAGTAAGGCTGATGGGCACTGGGAGGGGGAGAAGGCAGGGGGCGCGGCCGGGGCACAGGAGGCAAACCAGGTTTGTTCCGGGAGGCAGGAACACCCTCGCCACCGTGCCGCATCTGTCCCGCTGTGCCCACGCGCGTGCACACAGCGAGGACCCCTCCCTCCTCCTGAGGACCGGAGGAGACCTGAGCCAGGAGCTGATGCCACCTTCCCTTTTTCCCTCTGGGCTCACAACAGTGAGCAGCAAGGGGAGGGGACCCTTGCCCTGGAGGGACCGTCTGTGAGTGGGTCCCACACTCCATCAACAGCTGCTCCCAGAGGCCTTTGCTGCACCTTTGGGAGCCCTTTCAGAGAGCCATGACTGGAAGCCCTCACCCCCAATTCACTGGTCCCAAGCCAGCCCTATTCCTGGAAGGGGAGGTGAAGGGGGGCTGGGCAGGCGAGGAGGCTGGGGAGGGACTGCGATGAGAGTGTGGTGACCTCTGGACTGGACACTGCCCTGGGGAGGAACACTCCCCACCCCCACGGAGAACATCTCTGTGAGGTCCAGAATGGGCAGAGAGGAGAATGGGCAGCAGTATGGCCATCCCATCCCCCACCCGCCACTGCCCAGATGGCAAGGGACTGCACTCCTCCAGCCCCACCAACACCTTCTTTTTTTTTGGCAGGTGGTTCTTGTACCTCTTGGTGCCCGCCCTGTTCTGCAGGGTAGGGGGCTCCAGACCCATCCCTCAGAAGCTCTTTGGGGAGGTGACTTCCCCTCTGTTCCCCAAGCCGTACCCCAGCAACTTCGAGACAACCACTGTGATCACGGTCCCCACGGGATACAGGGTGAAGCTCGTCTTCTGGCACTTTGACCTGGAGCCTTCCGAAGGCTGTTTCTATGACTACGTCAAGGTAGGCGTCAGGCTGGGAGGGTGGGGGGAGACAAGCGGGGCCCCCTGTGCAGCGTGCCCGGCCGGGACACTGACTGCCCCAGCCCTGTGAAGGCTGATGGCCAAGTGGAACTCTGAGAGTCAGGTGATGCCTGGGTGGGGGGTGTGGCTAGCTGAGAGCCCCCCGGGGAGCACTGAAGGGAGAAACACAGAGGAGGGAGGGACAGGCCCCTCTCTCAGGAAAGTCGTGTTTACAGGAGTCAGGGAAACCGTCCCCGTCTGCTGGCTAGCTGGGAGTCTTTGGGAAATCACCCCGCCTCAGCTTCCCCATTTCTATACGGAATGTCGCCATGGCTGGGACAGGAACGCAGGAACATGAGGAAGAGAAATGTGTGCTCTGGCGGGGCGGGCGTAGCCTTTGCAAAGACAGTGGGCTCAGTCCCCTCGCCTCTGTGACAACCAAGGGTACCTTCCTGGTCCCGTCTTTCTATAACCAATAAAAATGAGCTTCAGGACTCAAGCAGAACCTGTGAATGTCAATGACTACCATTCCCTGCTGGTTGAGAGAATACCATGAAAATGGCACGTCTTCCTAGCCCAGAGGACCTGGCAATCTGCAGTGTTGGGGGGGGGGGACACAGGGGTTGGTGGCAGGAAGAGTGGGGAATAGAGGGAGGGAGTCTTCTGCTTTTGGAGGACCAAGGCATCTGTGAGGAGAGGGGCCAGGGGAGCTCGGCGATGATTGCCGATGCCAGGCCGGTGGGCCCAGGCTGGTGCTCAGCTGAGCATATCAGGAGGCATGGCTGGGTACAAATGGCTTCAACAAGGTGAGGTGGGATAAGAAGACAGAAACAGGCCGGGCAAGGTGGCTCTCATCTGTAATCCTAGCACTCTGGGAGGCCGAGGCGGGCAGATTGCTCGAGGTCAGGAGTTCGAAACCAGCCTGAGCAAGAGCAAGATCTCGTCTCTACATAAATAGAAAGAAATTAATTGGCCAACTAATATATATAGAAAAAAAAAATTAGCCGGGCATGGCGGCACATGCCTGTAGTCCCAGCTACTCGGGAGGCTGAGGCAGCAGGATCGCTTGAGCCCAGGAGTTTGAGGTTGCTGTGA